CACCCCAATTAACATGGCTACCGAAAAAAAAAAGCAAAGAAAAACAGAAGATTAAAACCGCGAATTTAAAGTTAAGTGGACCGAGAATTTTGCATTTACTCAAAACTTAAATGGTTTTCTGACATGTCTTATTTGTAAGGAGAAATTCGCGCATTAACAAGAAGTCAAATTTAGAGAGACACTTTACAAGAAAGTACACGTCATTTAGCATTAAATATCCTACCGGTGATGCAAGGAAAAAAGCAGTTGAGGAACTTCAGAAGAGTCAAGAGTCGTCAACTTCTGTGTTTAATTACGGAATGCAATCTTCCAGCAATATTAATATGGCAAGTTCTGTTTGTAGCCAAGAGATTGCTAAGAGAGGAAAACAGTACACAGACGGCAAATACATAAAAAGTTATTTTATAAATGCATCCGAAGAGCTATTTCGGGATTTTAAGAACAAAGCAGATATTCTGAAAAGAATTAAAGAGTTACCATTGTCTGCCAAAAACCATTAAAGATAGAACAATTAAAATGTGTTCGAATATAAACACCCAGCATATCGAAAATCTGAAATTGATTTCGGCTTTATCAATAGCAGTTGACGAGTTTTGTGACATAAATGATACAGTTTCACTTTTTGCAAGATTTATGTCTCATTCAGGACGTAAAGAAGAACTTTTAGGATTATTGCCACACAAAGGTCAGGCGCGTGGAGAAGATATCGCCAATGCTGTAATGGAGTGTATGGATAAACATCATATTCTCCTCGATAAAGTTGTGTCGATTTCAACAGATGGAGCCAAAAGTATGACCGGCGTAAGAAAAGGGGTTGTTGCTATTTTGAAAGAAAAAATTAATCACAAGATACTTGTTTACCATTGTATCATTCACCAAGAAGAGCTTTGTGCACAAACATTTCCGGAAGAAATTTGTAAAGTTATGGAATTAGTGATTACCATTATCAACTCCATTTCAGCTAAAGCTCTTAATCATCGCCAATTCAAAAAATTTTTATTTGAAATGGAGAGTGAATACGTTGATCTTCTGCTTCATAACAAGATCTTCTACTTCATAACTTATCAAGAGGGAACGTTTTAAAACATTTCGCGTCCCTTTTTCCGGAAATTAAAGCATTTCTCCTTGAGAAGGGCGTTCACTATCCAGAACTAACAGACGTGAATACAAAACTTTTATTTCATGGTAGACGTTACGTCTCATCTAAATCAGCTTAATCATAAACTACAATGGAAAGGAAACTTAACTTTGTCGATGTTAGAAGAAGTAATAACATTCAAAAACAAATTATCCATTTTTTCACAGGATTTTGAAAGGGAAAATTTCACTTTTCGAGCTTGTTGAAGCATCATCAAGAAAATTATTCCTCTATTAATAAACACCATTTTAAAACAATAATTTTAAATATGAGGGAAGCATTTCTCAGCAGGTTTCGGGAATTTAAAAACAGCAGAGCAACTTTAGCTTTGTCAAAAATCCTCTTAATACTACGATAACCGAGTTGAAATTTTCTCCTTTTGAAATTGACATTGGTGGCTTTGAAATACAATTGCTGGATTTAAAAAACAAGGAGATATGGCCCTCTAAATTCAAACGTCTTTGTGTTGAATTGGAAATATTGGAGAAGAAAAAATGTGATCTTAGTTCACAACACAAGTGGTCTGCTTTCAACGCTTGGAATAGTATTCCTGACTCTTATGATCAGCTCAAAAAGCTCGCATTTGCTGTTTTTTTCCTTTTCGGTTCTACATATATACATGTGCGAACAATCTTTTTCAAGCATGATCATTATCAAGAGTAAACTGAGAAGTCGTCTTATTGATGAGAACTTTGAATCATGCCTAAAATTAAAAACAACAATATACAAATCAATATACAAAACTGACTTACTCAAACTTTCCAAGGAGATGCAAGCATTGTTCACAGTAATAAATATTTATTAAGAATTAAATTTAGTTTTATTTAGTGTAATAAAAGTTTACTAAACAAGCAGATTTGGCTCCCAATTTTTTTTTAAATTGTTGTAATGTTCATATTTGGCTCTTTGGCTAATAAGTTTGTCGACCACTGGGTTAGGGGTATTTTACCTAGTGCTGAGTCATTCTTCTTAATAATAACATTTATTTTCACTTAAGAGAAACATAATTACGACATAAGCCCTTATTCTTACAGGGGGAAAAAACTGTTACCAAAGGCTGCCGCTTTTAATAATGTTAACTCACTCACGTCAAACTTAAATTGACTGTGTTATTTTAAAATTTTATCGCATGATTAATCTTTTACGACATTCGCAAGAAACTGATAGGTGGCTAATGTTAAATTCTGGCATACATATATGAAATGATGAAAAATATTCTTTTCCAATTTTCTATAAGCTTTCTATAAATGTGATCTGCAGTTTTACGTTTATCACCATATATAACTATGTGAATATGGGGGAAAACCTGTATTTGTAGTGCTTTAAAGGTATGTTTTGCCAACATATATATATATATATATATTGTAATATTTTACTATTTAACAAATAAGTATATTTATTATTGGAGTGGTAATGCCATATTTGTATCATGTAACTGTTGCTCAGCAATGTAAGAAATTGTTAAAAAACTGTAATTCTGAAAGTTTACCAGCTAGGAGATGTATGAAAATTTTGTAATTAAAAGATTGTTATTCAAATTATCTATCTCCATAAACTAAAAATAAAATTTATGTTTTTACTAAGATGATCATCTGTTTTTTGTTAAATACTGCAAAATATGTTACAATATATATGTGATAATAACTTGGAGAGACTGCTGCATAATTAGAAAAATGACACTGGAAGAGAAGACCTTCTAGACTGACATAGCCGACTGAACATAAATATTTATTGTTGGACACGAACTTATTATCGAAACTGTATTTTTCATTACTTGTGATCATGAGCACATTACTTACACCACAATTTTATATAGAGTATCACATTTTTAATAACAGCATAGGTAGGAGTAAGACAAAGCAAAAGCGAAATGAAATAGCATCCAAGCACCAACAGAGCTACTAACTATGCATTTATCCAATCTGGAAGTCTGTTAGGGAAAGGTTTGGGTTAGGTTAGAAAAGTTTCAGTTCCTTCCAGTTAGAAAAGTTTCAGAGTAACATCATCAGCGTTGCGTAGCCCGTGCAAGATGGAATGATCTAGAAATGATGCAATCCAAAGAAGTTATTACAAGTTTTAGAATATAGAAGGAGAATTAAGGGGTTATGGTAGTATAAATTATAATTTTGATTTATATATTCTTTATCTTACATCTATATGTATATGTATACATATGTATTAACCCCTTCACGCCGACTGTCACGTCTACATGCCAGCAACGAACACACTCACCGACCGGCCGACACGCAGGCGTGCGAAAGCATTTTCCTGTTTACTATCAACTGTCACGTATTTGTGCCAGTACCCTGGAACGCTTTAGAAACTATAATTTCTGCCACAAGATGGAACAGTATGTTCATATGGTTTCAGATACATGTACATTAGACCTTCTACTCGAAATGAGAGAAGCATGACTCACATACACGTGTTTTTGGTTATATAAACAAACGGGGAACTAAATGTTTCCGAATGGCGTGATTTATGATGTCTCTTTAAATCGCATTTTATTCGCACGTGGTAGTTGTTTGTTGTAAATAGAAGTTTTATACGCGCTAAAGCGTTGAGTATTTCCGTTTACAGTTTAGTTTTTAGAAAATAATTAGATCTTGTTAGACGTGAATTCTCTCTGTTTTTACCGTTGCAATGTCGAAGGGTCGAAAATGTTTAACAGAGCATGAAATAGCAGAAATGATGCAAAATATTTCAGATATTGATTCTGAAATTCTGATATTGATTCTGAAAGATTAACTGAAAGACATTTTCCAAAACTTTGTTCGGAAGAGACTGGTAAGAAAATGAGACGACGATGCTTCGTTTGTTCACATTTCCGGAAAAATCCTCCAAAACGGCAAATGAGTTATTACGAGTTCAAGGAATGTAACGTAGGACTGTGTGTAGATCCCTGTTTTCAAATTTTTCATACGAAAAGAGAATTTTAAGTAATATATTTAGTTTTCAGATGTATAATGTTTCAAAAGTCATCATAAAATGGTGAGTAATTAAAATAAAATGTGTAAAATATACATTTAAACAAGAAATAAGGTAATTAAAGTATATATAAAAAAATATCTATAAACCATAAGCCGTTTAAATACTCTATAGAGCATTATTAAACAATGCGTTGATACTTCAGAAATTTCATGGATTTAGGCTTAGTAGCAAAAAAGCCCCCGGCCCTGGAGAGACGCTCGCGGAAGACACTGCCGGCCTCTGCGATAAGCGCGCGTTTTCACTACCCGGCTCGAAGGGGTTAAGGAACGAAAGTTTCAAATACATGGATTACCAGTTTGAGTAGAAGATATGGAATAAAATTATATCGTGTATTTTAGATTATCACCTCTCCCTTTCTTTTAATTTTTTTTAACAAATAACTTTAAAATCTCAAAAATATAATTTTTTTTTTACATAATCCAGACTGTAAGACTTATATTACTGGTTTAGTCATAATACCTATAAAAAAGAATGCATTTTCTATTCATGTTCCATTGTCAATTCTGCACGTGCATACGTCTCTAACAATTTAGAAAATAATCCCATTTGTATGAGAAATAAGAATACATTTAATTTTTTACTCCAAAAAAAATTTTTATGCAGAAACTCTTATAGTAAAAAGATAATGTAAGTCTAAGCAATTAATGTGCTCATGATTAACATTTATTGAATTACAGTCATTGATAACTGAATCACGTAAACTCTATACTAAAAATAAAATGTAACAGACAATTCTTAGAATTACAAATTTCAATAATTCACAGAAAATAAATTTTTAGTAACAACAAATTATTTATTAGCTTATGTACATTTTATCAACTATACAAATAAAATCATGTTCTATACTAGAACGTAAATGCACAAATTAAAATCTACCTATAAATGTGATTTCTATGTTTATTACAAACGATATATTCTTTTTGTATTTGCAGAAGTGGCCTGAAGAACTTTTTCCATAGAAATATTTTTCAAAGCAGCAATTTGAGCAGCAACATGTATGGCCATACCAGGATGAGAAAATAGTCTTCCTTTGGATATCTGAGAATATATATTAAAACACAATTAGCAAAATGGAAACCGTATAAATGCAATAAATTGTATTTAATGCAGTATGTGACAAATTTTATTTAATAAATTATTAGGCTGAATGATTTTAATAAGATTCAAAGCAAACGAATCTTTTTGATCTTATGCAATCTCCTTTAAATATGTCTCAAATAAATTTTATATTTCTTTTCCCACCATCTCATATCATATCTGTCAATCCAATAATTAAAAAAATAATAAAATAAAATAAAATAAAAAGAGGAAAGGAGTTTCTCAACTCAAAAACCAAGAGTTTCTAAGAGGTTTTGAGTTCCCCACAGAAGGAACACCAAACTGACTGAAATCTACTTCATAAATGTATGATTCAGGTCAGTCAACTATTTATGATATGATTCTGATATAAAATATACTAATATTTGATTAGATATTCTAATTTTACATTCCTTGGCTTATCAAAGCACTGTTAAAACATGAAAATATAATACACATACTATTGTGTAGATAAATGTAAAACAAAATTGAAAATAAATATGAACTGACATTGCATAGAAATTGCATAATATTCTTCATATAAATTTCTACAAATATCTACTATGTAGATTAAGACAATGCAAATCAAATAAAATTGAATAAGAAAAGTTATGCTGAAAATGTGCACAATTTAAGTAAAGTAAATTTCATTTATTCTGAAAACCCCTTTCCTAAATTAAATCTAAAAATTAAAAAACGGAAGATTCAGTGATCTACCAGGACATGTGATAAAAAACCAAGAGAGTTACCAGCTATGTCATATAATTAACTTGCTTGCATTAAAATTGTTTAAAATGGCACTTATATTAACCAACTAAAAATAAAGGTGTTCTGGTTTGATGTAAAATAACATTTCAGAATTTTGTAGGAGAAGTCATGTGTTAAAATTCAGGTAGGAAAGTGGAATGAATGTCATGCAAATTTAAATGAGAATTTAAAATTTAGTTTTCCATGAATAGTAGTTATTTCCAACTGAGTACATGATCTATCACATTAAGATATGCATAAAATTATCGCATGGCATTTGGAAACCAATCTCTCGATTTCAAAAAAAATATTTGGATTTTGTTAATTATAATCCAACTCTTTAGCAGGAATTTTTAATTAGGAATTTTTAATTAATTTAATTAAGGCAATCAACCCATTTAGTCACTAAGAATAGAACTCCGAGTAAGCTAGTGCAGCACAGCATCAGCAACTCATGTACTGCTTTTACATGCTGAAATGTTAAATTTACAATAGCAGTCATCATGATCTCAGATCGAAGTCTGTTGTCATTATTATTAATTTGAAAATCGTCATTTTATATGACTGCAATTTATAAAAAGGTTTAAAACAACTAGAGTTGTTTTAAAACTTTTTATAAATGTTGTTATTAGATTCTAATAAATGTATTATAATTCTAAATAAGAATAATTTCCTTTTTAAATCTTTATAAATCATTATTAAAGAAATTGCACACAGATGTAAATATACTCTGATGTGTGTATTTTAATTATGGCAAAGCACATGAGGGCTATCTGCCTAAGGGAAGGGATGCCTTCATGGGGGACGTTCTAAGGGAAACTGGCTCGTATACACATTACACATGGGGAAAACCACGAAAACGCCCATGCAGCCAGCCTGTTCGTGGGATTCAAACCTCGGACCGAACTACCAGTGTTCAGCGACTTTACCGCTCGGCCGCTGCTGGGCCCAAATATACTTTGATATACAAAGATATTGCATAAAAGAAATTAATGCAAATCCTTGTAAATTTGCACTGATTTTTCAAAATATTTCAATTTTCAAACTGCACTTAGATTTTCTGCATTTGTAAAATATCCTGTCCCATGAAATATGGAACAAACAGAAATAGATTTTTTCATATTCCTTAATTTCTGAAATCCTTTATTATCTCAAACACAAAGTTGGTCTTTAAACTTATTAGCCACAACTCCCCCCCCCAAAAAAATTATAATTTTAAAACATGTTTTAAAAAATCTGATGTGTACACCACATGACTTCCTTGTATGGAATATTAAATTATACGCATTTTTTCTTGCATTTCATTTAACTTATTAGATTGAATTAAACCTACTTCGCCGACAGCGCATAAACCACAATAGAATAAATGCATTCTTTAAAATTCACTTTGTTTACCATAGCGACACTCTGGCGCTAGGTTTACTTAACAGTATTATATTCCATTCATATTATAACTCAGAATGCACAAAATTTATATCATTTAAAGAATTATCTAATCGTTGCCACATGTTCTATTCAAATACTATTACAAAGCTAGAACGATGTATAAAAGAAATTAAGCAAACAAAACGAAAAAGAATCAGTTTTTCACAGACGATTGAGTATTTCTCATTCAATTAATTCAGTTTTCACTTTGCGACAAGGCAAAAGTACATAAAAACTCAAAATATCTGTATTAAAAATTATGAAGTAAATCCTAAATATATATTTCCTCGAAAAAATTCCAGAAAGGATTAAGCATGATTTAATTCGCAATAATAAAAGAAGGCGTTATTTTTGTGTTGCGAAGCTTAGTGTCTCTAGATTGGCAACAAATCTACAATTCTGCTGTTTCAAATGTAAACAAATATGTCCGACATCTTATTTAAAACTTAACCGCACTTAAACAGCTTTTAAATTGTTGATAATTGTACAAATATTGCTTCCAGAATTACGAAAGGCATAAAAACTTTAACCGGAAGATAAAAGCAACATAATTCAATCATTTTTAAAGCAAAAAATGTACAATTTACAAACATATAAGAGTAAAGAAACTGAGATCACTGAGCAGGGTAACAGAGTGGATATATTTATAAATATATTTATATACGTTTGGCGCGACCGATTGAAACCAAAATACGAGGTGCACATCTACATGTTATAGTAGTCTTATATACAAAATTTCAACGTTCTGAGGCTACTCATCTTTGAGTTATGCGAGATACGTACGTACATATGTTCGTACAGACGCCACGAAAAATTCTCTTCAGAATTTCATTTTAAAGCAGTTTTTTAGTTTTTTTGGAGTAAAAGAGTCTTTTATTCTGTCCTAACTTATAGATATTATGCAAAAACATTGTTAAATTGCATTCAAAAGTGGTCAAAGTAGATATTTTCGTTGAAATATGCTGCCTGAAGCTTTTCGCGATTATAATACTTCCTTTTTACTTTGTATAAGGAAGTAAAAAGGACAAATAATTTATCACAATAACAATAAAATTCTTACCACTTTTGGCACAAAATAAGGAGCATCTGTTTCTAACAGCAAACGATTTAGAGGAATATTTCTTCCTACTTCATGTACTGATTCTGCAGATGGAAATGTAACAATATTTGTTATACCAATGCAAAGATTAGGAAATGCTTCCAGCCACTTCTTGGCCCATGTCCAAGAATCAGTAAAACAATGTAAATGAATAGGATAACTATAGGGAAGAATCTAAAAGGAGAAAAAAAATTGGAAGATGCACGCATAAGGAAATGTTACAGATTAAATTCAAATTTAAAATATACCATAAAAACATTTCACATGCACTGTAAGAATAACTAGTGATAGAAAGTCAAGAAAGATATTGCATTTGAAAGAAAAATAACTAATTTTGTTTTAAAAAGTCATAAAATATGCTAAAAAAGTGTTATCAATAGAAATTTATGATATAAATGCCACATCATAAAATATTTCAGCAAAAATATTAATGAACAGACAAATTAAACTTAATTTGCACTTTTTAACTTTTTTTTTTTTTTTTTTAATTTTCTAATTCATAAATATAATTTAGTTTCACTACTACTATGATAATGTTATCCAAATAACAAATCCAACTTCAAGGATCTTTATTCCAAAAATTTACAAACACAGAGATATAAGCGTGTTCTATATTTTTAATTATGTAATATTTAATATTATAACATTTTTCTTCTCACATATTTCTCATGAACTTTTTAACATATTATTCATGATCTCAATGTTCACTTGTGTAGCTTCTAGACATCCTCTGTATGTTCGAAAATCCGAATTCCTCCATAAATAGGGAATTATGAAGTTTAATTAAAAAAAAAACTCCTTTCATAAATTCCTTAGAATTAATTTTTATAAGTAATTTCTTGTTAAGTTAAAACAAATTGACATCCTTAAATTATGTAACTTAAAAATATATTATGTTTGCACACACTGTTTGAGAGATGGATTTGGAAACAAAGAATCATTAGCATAAGATCGGGCAAACTGTGTAATACAAAATGGTATTTTCTGATTATCCTGAGGACTTCCCTGAAATGTATTCACGAGGCAGCATGTTATGGCGCTAAAATAGGTAACCTATGGCTTTTCCAGAATGCACTTTTGTAGTAACCCAGGCATAAACGAGTGCACAATGCTGATCCACCTTCAAATTTTGTCATTAATGCTTCTTTCTGTTTTACTGAGTGTTCCCTCCCTCTTTTAAGGAATTATAATTCGCCTGTGGAGTTTACAGGCTAACAAAAAAACAAAAAAAAGTATTATATTTCTATATAAATATGGTCTTTTGCCTAACAGTAGAGAATGCAAAATTTCACATTCCGTGAAACTGTACTTTATAAACAAATGGATATTGTGGATTAAAATTTGTGAACTCATGCCAGATTTGTGCAGTTCTCTGATTTCTTTTGAGTAAAAAAGGGTTAAAAGGAAATTAATTAGTTTTTTTTTTTTTTTTTTTTTAAATGTTTCTTGCATTTTTAATTTTGTTAATTGTGGTTGTTTTATATAATTCTTAGCGCAACAGCATTTCTGAATATGGCTGTCGTCTTTCAATCTTAGCTAGGTGAAAAATGAGCTGGCAATGACTGGCAACTTTTTCTGAGCGGGGCTGCAGATAATTAGAAGGTACCAACGAAATTACCATGCTCATTGTAAACCATCCAATGCCAAATAAGTACATTAAGAATCTTGCATGTATATGTTTAAATCAACTTTTGTAAATGGCTTGCTTAATACAAAACATGTTTCAGGTTTTGGTCAGTCTTTTACAACCTTAACTCTCACAAGAATATTAAATAATATATTAATATCAATCAAGTTTTAAAAAAAAACTTGTACAGTAATTTTTAACTACTGCTTAACTGACCACTATGCATGACAGCTCTTTTCTCCACAAAAAAGGAAAGAAAAGGTATATTTAATTTAATGCATATTTATTAAAATTTTAATAATCTGTATTAAAAATAAATCTGTAAAATTAAAAGATAAATACCATAATAATTTATGTCTGCTACACAATCTTGCAATATTGATAAATGCATTTGTAATACAAGTTATGATTTTAATTAAAAGTAAAGAAATACTGAAAATGTAAAATAAAATGGAAGGATGAGCAACATTATGTTGTTATTTAAGAAAGTTAATGCACAGTAATAATAAACTATATAAAAGAATTTTTAAAATATTTATTTCATTGTATGACTGTTAATAGAATAAAGGAATTTAGAAAATATTTATTTATTATATGGTACAACAGTGGTATTCAAGCTATGAGCCATGATTCCATTTTGGGTCTATATGTGAATAAAAATCCTAAAAAGTTTGTATTAATGGTATATAACTAAGGGTTGATGCTCTGATTGAGGTCGCTAAATCATTTTAATCATTTTTTGGGCTCCTTTTCAATTTTATGGGATCATACTGCCATAAGGTTTGAATACTACTGGATTAGTAAAATTAGACATTAAAATTATAAACTAATAAGAAATTCAGATTTACGTTTTGCATTATTTTCATACAGTCTTCATTGGCTTCTCTACAATGAATAACAACAGGTAGACCTTTTTTAACCGCAATCTTCAACTGTCGTCTAAAAACCTTGTGCTGCACATGTGTTGAATATTTACTTCTAAGGGAGGAAAAAATTATTTATTACACTGAAAACTAATTTGAACATAAAAATATAAAATTTTGTACTGAAATGAAGAGTAAGTGCATAATTATATGCACAAATAATATTCTGTTGCGGGGGGGAAAAAAAAAAAAAAAAAAAAAGTATGTGCCCACAACAATCTGAACTACAGTTACAAAACTGAGCAAAATTTGCACAGAAATGTTATTTGAAGAGCTAGGAAAGGATTCAAATTTCAGTACAAAAAGCACACAGATGTAGATCATACAGAACCAGTGTGTAAACTCGTAGATAATTTTAAATGGCTTTTCTGCATTGATACTGCAAATTATTTTTAAAGAATGGCTTTGAGATGCACTATAGTTTATGAACAATTGCTTCATTCAGAAAAAGGTGATTCCATAATTCACATGTGCAGAGAAGCAAGTTGGTTCCAATAACAAATCAACTATATTGTATGGATCAGAGCAACAATATGTAATCAATACAAAGGCTCAAATTACCACATACACACAAATGCTCAAAAAGACAATACGGTTGAAAAAAATGCCATGACTACATCGATGCTGTCACTAACATTTATTAGAGGTACTTTCCATTTTGTATGTATCAATGAATACTATTGCCCAGCCTTTGTCAGTTTTATTTGAATTGCCTATTGAAAATGCAATCACTCATCATGTCCACTGACAATACAATCATCAAAATTTCATGATTGACAGAGCCATTTGGACTGGTGAAAAATTAAATCATCTTGAACAGTATTCAATTTGGAAGCGTACTGTCTTTAGCAAAAATTCTGATCAATGTTGGTACTGGTAATAGCTGCACTAATGTGCAAAGAAAGAATTGGCAATCTCATGTTTGTTGTCAAGTGGCACATGGCCATCACAAATGATATAACAATCTGCTAAGCCATCTCTGTAGACATCCAATTTTGAAGTATGTTATCTTTAACAAAAATTCTGCTTGGTGGAGAATAGGATTATTCACCACCAACTCATCGTCTTGCCATTTTGCCTTTGGGCCAGTCTGCCACTAGGATAATTTGCAGTCAAGACATTTTTTCTTTACCTGCCTATCTTTTTACAAGCCTATATTATTACTTTGTTCACCTATCATATGCCTCTGGCTTAGTTAAATTTTAAAAGAAAAAAGCTTTTGAAATTAAACCCATCTTTTAGAACTACTAAAATAATAAATTCAATAATGACAAGTGATATTTAATTAAATTCAAATAATTAACTAAGAGCATTCATAATTAAGGTGAAATACCATATAATTAAAAATTGTGTAATAATAAAGCATAATATTAACAATTAAACATAATATAATGTAACATCTAAAGTAAAAAGGAAATTGTGTTTAGATTTTGAAATAAATTTACCATTTTTAAGATAATGAGTTTCATTTCTGATTTTGCATTAAAATAAGCAAGCATTTTAAAACAAATCACATGCAAAAATTTGCTCTTCAATCAAACCAAAGTCATGTTAAACATTCTTCTATTTAAAGAAATCAACAAATTCCTCATATTGAAATGCTTTTATATGCAATATTATGCAAATATACCATAATGCATGATATGATCATTACGCATAACATAAAAGTTAACTTTTCAGTATATTTATCCGTATAATTATTAATTTAAAAAAATTAATGTGCTAACAAAATTCCAAAGTAATTCCATTTTCAATTAAGATTTCATGAAAACAGAAATTTCCTGCTTGCATGAGTGATTCTCTGAACAGGATGATTAAAATTTCAAGAAATTTTGACAAATCATATAAACACTATATCTGCATATTTTTAAAAATGATAATACTCTACCCATCAATAAGTATTTGGACACCCACGCAAATGCCGATATCTGTGTTCCTGATCTATGTCATGCCCTCCGCCTTTACATATTGCGTAGAAAACAACATTAGCATTAATCGCATGTAAGATGCATTGAAATGAAAAGTTATCTGATTTTGAGAAATGTGTAATCATTGGATGTCATAGAAATGGGCATATCTAGCGATATTAATTACCCGAAATTAACAGTGGCCTATGTGATTTAGAAGCGGAAGGTGAGCAGTGATTGTTGGAATGCGCCCCGAGTTAACAAACTAGTCAAACGGGGAGAAAGGGACAGACGGGTGCTGTCCAGAGAAATTCAGAAGCCAATTGCCCACATATTCCAGGAATTTAAACAAGCATCTGATTGTGTTGTTTCGATGAATACCATTCATAAGGAAGCCCATTTGCTTCGTTTTCATGGTTGTGCTGCCGCCCATAAGCCTTTGATTACTAAGTCCAATCGCACTGCTTGGTTAATGTGGTGCAAAGCACATCAACAGTGGACTGTAGATCAGTTGAAAGGGTTCTCTGGGGCGACAAATCAAGGTTCACACTCTACCGTTCAGATGGCATAGTCTAGATCTGGTGTCTGCCTGGTGAACGTACCCTGCCAGAATGCATTGTGCCCACAGTAAAGTTTGGCAGAGGTGGAATTATGATCTGGGGGTGTTTTTCCTGGTTTGGACTGAGACCCTTTGTCCAAATTCATGGTAAACACAATGCCGAAGCCTACTACACTATTCTGTATGGCAGTGCACTCCCTACATTGCGGAAGTTTTCTGGGTTGGACCCATGTTACTTTCAAGACAACAAAAGCAGCTGTCATGCTGTGAGGCCTTCCATGAATTGGTATGGTGAAAAGGGGGTTGACCAAATAAACTGGCCTGCCCACAGCTCAGAACCTACTGAGCAACCCTGGGATGAGTTAGATCACCAAACTAAGAGATGCAACAACAGTCCATTGTTGAAGGAACTTGCATGTCATCTCCAAGCTGAGTGAAACAAATACCAAATAACCTTCATACAAGGACATATGGAGTGTATGCCCCTTGAGGGTTGATGGTGTAGCTGCCACTCATTGAAGATCTACCAACTACTGAATATGAATATTTTTTTCCCTATTGCAGGTGTTCAAATACTTATTCATAGATAGTGCATAAGAGAGTACCTCAAGTTTAGCTCATAATTATGAAATGTGATAATTTTATTGTATTTGATAGTGGCATAATTTTCTAACTATGTGTAATTTCTTTACATTCCATATTTGTAAAGAAGTAATTATATATATATATATACGCTCAGTATTGGTGATCAGTGCACAGATGTGTAGAGGAAGAATGGATAGTCTTTTAATCCAATATTTGTTGTCAAGTGGCACATGGCCATCAAACAAGATGTGACTATCTACCACATGATTTTCTTCGAAGTTTCATGATAGTAGTTTTTCTTTCTCCTAGCATATGGGGGATACCTATATATTTTTTGTAATAGAATATACTGTGACTCATATTCACAAGAAAATTGCTAAAAAGTTTTATGAAAAAATTACTTGTTAGAATAATCCAATCCGATTTCTCCCAAAGCTCGAACTTTAGAATGTTTCAGAGCTTCCAAGAGAGTTTCTTCTATTTCATTATTATAATTTCCTGATTCATTAGGATGACAACCAAATGATCCCCAAACATTTTCTTCAACAATATATTTCTGCCAGATTGATTTCTAAAAAAATATAGATATATATATAGTTTAAATCATAAATCTTTTATCAATATGAAAACACACATAGAAAGTTTTTAAAAAAAATGAAAAAAGAAAATAATACCTTTGCAAATGTAAATGGATTGCAAAATACTGCAATGCACCCTTGGAAGCATTCAGGAAATGTGCTTTTAAGATTCTTCTGGTATTCTGAGAATGTTCCTTTAAAATTTAGTCTTTGAAAAAGGAAGTCTAGATGACAATGTGCATCAACAAAACCTGAATCTGACTTAAAACACATGAGGTCAAAAAATCTATAACTAGGCAAAAACTTCTTGATTTCCTTAGATTCTTTTTTAATTGAATTGAATGAAGTTTTATCAGCTGCACAGCATCCTTCACATTTGCTTCTCCTAAATGAAAAATGGTTTGAACTTTCAGTAAAAAAAACATTCAAAAAAAATTTTATCCATTTTAAACTGATTTTATTGAAAACAACTAAAATAAACTATATATACACTTTTTAATTACTTATTACATGTATGTTTAATTTTTAATCATAATATGATATCCTTTAAATTATAAAACAGTTTCCAGTTACTAAAATGAAATTTATAATAACTAAATAATCTTTACCACACACTACATATTTAATGTATCAAACTATACTAAGTGCTGCTTAAAAGCAAAAAATGCTGTCCTTGTTTATGTTTTTAGTCTTCCGCAGATTATATACAAGGCATTTGAATACAGATTAGGCATCTACCAAAATGCAATAACTAAATATATATTTTATTTTATTTTCAAAACACAGTAATAGAAAAGAAGTAGACTTCCTAGAAAATACAAATGTCACAGCTGTCAACAATATTATTAAAAAAAAAAAAAAAAAAAATCTTCAGGAGGTCAACAAGCTATGAGGCAGCATCATTTGAAAGAATTCAAAATTAACTTAAATTTGCTTTATTCTTTATTCATTAATAAATTAACTTCAATTTGCCCAATTCCAGTTATTCAACTATTTATAATAAACTTTTGACATAAAATATATATTAATATTTAATAGAAAACCTTAAATTTTACATTTTGGGGTTAATTTTATATTGTAATTTTCTTACACTTTCATGTTAGAAAATCCTCAGTAAGGATTGAAAGCTCTAATCTAAAAAAATCTGAAAGTTTTCAGATTTTATTTTATGCCTACAGGGGCCTTTTTTTTTAACTTTTATTAAATATCGTGTTCTTCACACAACCATAAAATTCAATTTAACAGCAGTATCGCAAAATAATTTTAAAAGAGCATATGTTTAGAATTTCCGATACAGAGTCTCACAGTCTTGTGTGCTGGAGATAAAAATATGTCCCCCCATACAGGAACTTTGCTCACTTTGAAATCGTTGAGTTTGGTAATCAAAAATTCGTCAAAGTGTTACAAATTATGAAATTTATAATAAAACAAATTGCAAATTTGGGCTTCTAGATGTCCATACTCGGTGGAGGATTACGTTATTCAAAATTTGATGGCTCTAGGCATCATTGTTTTATCACAATGAGAGAAACATAAATACATTTATGGAGATTCTTCAATATTTAATGTCTTTAAACATAACACAAGGCGATAATATTTTGTGGCAACAATTTGAAAAGTGAAACGGACATTTAAGTTTTCAACGTAAAATGCCAAAACAAAATTAATAGCCCTTATGGGCTAATAATGAATGTACATGCTGTTGTGAAGATAAACTTGTTAATATACCATATATTGAAATAAAAAAATTAAACACAAATATTCACAGCTTAAACAATAGTTGAATCTCCATATAACAATCTACACATGTCTACAAGATTAAGATAATTCAGATCGAATAGAATTGAATAAGAAAAATTATACTGAAAATCACTAAGGATGGGAGAATGAAATTTGCAGAATTTAAGTTTCATTAATTGAATAAATTCCATCCTTAGTAAAAGCTAAAAATTAAAAACTAGAAGATTCATGATTCATCGGGAGATGTGATGAAAAACCAGGAGTCTCCCAATAAAACCTGTACAGTGGGCAGGAAATATAGTTTAGATAAATACTCATATACTAGTTTAATGATAACAAAAAAAAAAAACAAAAAAAGGGGGGGAACAAGTAGCCAATAAAAGAATAACTTAATTGAAAGAATTTTTTTAATAGTTATAATGTTTAAATAAATAGCATACTTATAGTGTGGAAGATTTTATTTCAATAAATAGATGAAATAGAGAATTCTACAGTTCTAAAAATACCAAAAAGAAGTTAAGGACTACATTTCTGCAAAAATCACATTCATTTAACAGGGCTAGAATACCCTTCCCCGCTCTTTCAATACACAGAATTGAAACAACTATTAAGTGTATACCTTATAATGTTTTAGAAAGAATAATGCCAAACTATTAATGCTTAAGCAATTATAGTAGATGAGAAAAGTAGACTATATAATCTATTCAAAATGAATATCTTTAGCTATACAAATATTTCATAATAACTTGTCTACACCTGTGAATTTTAATAATGCCATTAACATTACAAGCATCACATTTAACATATTTTGTGCTAACCATAACTGATTGTAATGCAATATTTTAATATGAAATCCCTTTTCATTTTGCTCTTTAATGTATTCATTTATACAATAAAAATTTTGTTTTGAAACTATACCACATATAACAAATTTCGCTGCACAGTGCTAATGTACATCAAAAATGGAATCTTAAAATTTCAGAGACGCAGTTTTAAAATTCATTTTTTCTTTTGAAATATTGATTAAATGACAACAACAATTAATTAAACAAAGAATAACAGCTAGAAACCCTAAACCTGGTATTCATTCAGATTTGAAGAGGTAATACAGGAATTTGTAACTTTTACTAAATAACTGCATTAATTATAAAATGTAATATCGCAGTTAAATTCCTTAAAGCATTTCTTTCACTTACACTACTTCACTGCTTTTAAAATAATACACAAATCTAGTCTATCTAGTCCAGATGACTAAAAAATTATAGACTAGATTTCTATATGTGGCTCATAATGGCATGAAGTTTAGTCACCTCTACTATGTAACATGAAAACACAGTTGAGAAACTACCAAGAAAAATTATCTCAGTTCAGTTAACAAAACGTACATGCCATCATTCTTTTATACATTTAATTATAAAGAAGTGCATAAATTTTTTTGTAAGATATAATTCCAGTTAAAAATCAGAAGGGGGAAAAAAAAAAGCAATTAAAATTATAATCAAAAACAAACCTGATATCAAGAGATTTATCCTTCAAGCCAATAGCATTTTCCTTGCATCTCTCAGGTGTAAAATGTGCATTTGTATACAGTTCTTGTGAAGGATTAGAGCACCGAGATTCTAAAATAAAAACACATTTAATTTTAAAATCAAGTTTAATTTTCACCAAATAATGATAATTTTTTAAAGAAAACTTTTTAATTTCTTCAGCAGCTATTTTATTTAAAAACCATTTACTGATTATTGACAACTTTTAAGCATATTGGGCAAAAAATCTTACCCGATATGATGACCAAAAACTATTGAAGCAATGGACGGATGCAGTAGACAAGCAGAAATTCGTAATATCTAAAGCAGAAAAGGCATCACTGAAAGCATTAATTTTAAAAAACAGCTAATGACAAGCAAGTTCTTTTAAACTGAATGTTCAATACACTGTCCCCTAAAAGTTATAGTAAAGATAGTGTTTCTTCGTAGCATTCGAAAGAAAGAGAATAGTATGAAATATAGTTAATTATACGGCTATACAGTACAAAGTCTCTAATCCGGACGTCCATAATCCGGAATGATCTATAATCTGGACCTCAAAGCTACAAACTTTACGCACATCCATAAATGTATAATGCGTTTATGCATGCGCATTTTGCGTTTAATGCATAACGGACGGTATAAGCTAGGCTAAAATTATCTAAAGCATTTTAGTTAATGTTGCAGATATTGCACTGTTCCTTAATCTTCTAATTAGATCTGGCTTATTATTTTTTGCAGATTGTTAGAGCAATTTTATGAAAAGTAAGCTTGAACTTTCAGTTATGTCAAAAAGAGTTTCAAATTCTGTAGCTGCCAAAGGATCTACAAAGCAAAAAACATGGATGTCCATCAAACAAAAAGTGGAACTGCTGCAAAAAAATGGATAGTCTCAAAATTATATGCATATCCATCTCAAAATTATGTGAGGAGTATAACATTGGAAAGTCAACTGTCTATGACGTAAGCAGAAAGAAAAAGGAACTTTTCGAATATTTTGTAGATTCTGACACCCCACTTGCGATGACTAACAGAAAAAGGGTTCGTTATGCTAAAAGTTACGATCATGACAAGTGATGAATGTTTAATAAAGTAAACAAATAAATATTAAGTTTTTTTTTTTTTGGGTAAATTGTGATACCCTTTAAATCATAATTGCTCTTTATTTCATAAATTATGGTTTCATATTTTAATTGTATAATTTCTGCATGCCATCTTACCAGATTTAAATTGATGATCTAAAATCTGGAAAAACCCCTAATCCGGAATCGCCGAAGTCCCGACGAGTCTGGATTATGGACTTTGTACTGTAATAAACATTGAAAAAAAATATTCAACTGGAAAATACTATTGTATTATTTTTTTAATATCTGTTTTACTTCAAAATTGTAGAATTCCAGTAATTATCGTGTGCATAAACATTTTGATTTTAGGAAAACTTCAAAAGATATTTAAACTTTGCATTTGAAATTTTGTCCGCAATGTCTCAGAGAAATCATCCACTTGATTCATTAAGATGACAGGTAGTTAGTTAGCTACGTGAAAATACATGTAGAAGGTAAACAAAATGGGCCAAGATGGGAACAATTTTGTTACAGCTTCATCAACAGGATGCAGAATTAATTCTTTAGAAAATCTTCAATTTCAAGAAAAGCACTATTATGTTGTCTACTAGCTATAAGCTCTTCTGATCACTTTATGGCCCTCTCAGTCAAAAAGAAAATTACATCTCTGTCTTGTCTTGGTGCCAATTATTTTGCAACTAAAAAAAGATAATTATATACTTCCAATATCAGATGAGTTTCACATGACTGTCTACCAAAATACCTCTTGTGACTCTTCTTTGATTAGCTTAAAGTATTACACATTATTTTTACATATTAAACAATGGAGTTCAATAATGCATATATGTCACTTAAAAAAATGTTCACACTGTGACTCATGTCATATTATGATAGGATAAGGAAAGTAGAAAGAACACAATACAGTTAATCAGACTTCTTGAAAGTTGCATTTGCAAAGAAGGCAGTAGCCTATTTTGGGCAGGAATTTCTAAGGTGCCAGTACTTTCACTATTTGATAGTGCATCTCTGACATATCAAGATAAAATCTTTACACGTAATTTATTTGTTTAGAATTTACATATTATCTCATCAACCATGAAACTGTCACCAAGCAATGTAATTTAGCTATAGTTAAGGATAAGCATACCAATACATTCATACCTGCACTTTTGTTTAAAGTAACGTCAGTCAATTCTTGATAAGCCACTTTTTGTTTTTATGAACAAGGATTTTCTCGTATTTTGAAAAAGCTATTAAAATTTCGGACTTTTCTTCTACAGAACAGCAGGCAGAGGATATTTTCAAAGTTATGGGATCCTATTCCCCTCCCAAACAAAAATGTGCATTAGTATATTGATGTGGTCATCTGAATATGGCCAACAACTTTGGACTTTGAAAGTATGCCCGCTAATTCTCAGTGTTCAAGATTAATCAGCTTTCATGGTCGATGAGATAATACATATCTGTTTTAATGTAGATAAACCTTCACTGCACAGAGCTGCTATAGTCAACTCGTAACTTGAAGGCAAGAGATATTAGTGATCACCAGATATTGGTTGATCATCAGCTTCAATCTAAATGATTCAGATCTCATTCTTGAGGAATCAATGAAGAAGAAAGAAGATGGCTAATCTCTAGACTATTGTTAAGTAAACTGTAGTAGGAATTACAATATTTATGGGCTTTGCTCCCAAAATGAACACCATGATAGCTTGATGGACAGAAAGGTATCAAGCTTAGACTGAGGTTAATAGTTGGCATAATCCATATTTATTCATTTTTTTCAGTTATGCTTACAAATTTCTTTTGTTGTCTTTTCATCACTTATAAAATCTCAACAGGACTACCCATTATAAAATATTCAGAAAAACAAAGTGTAGAAACACTGAAAAACATCATAAATTACTGTAAAATTTGTGCTAAATTTTGCTTGCTTTGTGTACATTTATATTTTGCTTGCCTTAAGAATCATAGCCTAAAAACCATTTGTTTCCTCAACTTTTGGACAGCAAACACAAAATTATTTTTAAAAACCCTGCTGCTGAATTACTGCAGATGGAATGTTGCATTGTACAAAAATTATACTATTTGATAAACTTCCACAATTCCAGCATAGTGCTTCCTGAACCTCCAACTGGTCTTTTCTTGGATGAAAAATTTATCATAAATAAATAATGTATACGTGAAAGCTTAATTTGCATTTATCTATTCATTTACAAGTTAGTTCCATTCCTTATATTATTTGTAGATATCAATATATGCTACCAATATGTTCTAACTTAATAAGTAAATGAAGCTAAAGAAAAATGAAGCAACCTAAATCTTGGGAAATTGAATAGAGAATGCAGAGTATCCTGAAAATTACCTTATTGTAGAAAAATGTCTCACACTTTGATATTCACACAATAAAAATAATATACACCATGTCCTGTAGTCCTTATGCAAATTCTATTTTTGGCAGTTGTTAGTCGTAAACATATACTTCCAAATACAAAAATATTTTAAATACAGTGAAAAGTCTTTAATCCGGACTCGTCAGGACTTCGGGGGGGGGGGGAGAGCTTTATATTTATTTGTTTATTTTATTAAACATTTCTTTCAATGCGCACATGCATAAAGCATACATTACGCATAGTCGAAATTAGAAAATTGCAACCAGAAAACTATTTGACGTGTATTCGTGTTATTTATAATGACGAGGAATTTGATTTAAATCATATCAAAGACGGAGTACATCGAGATGAAATACTAAATTTGGTACAGAATTATAAGCCGAATAAAATAAAAATATGCGTAAACGTATTATGCACAAGCGTAAACGTATTATGCTCATGCGTAGACGCATATGCGCAGAAAGTTTGTAGCTTTAAGGTCTGGATTAGACTTTTGACTGTAATACACATATTCATATTTTGGCATTTTAAAAAATTCAAAACATCAATTTTTTTTAAATTACAAAAGCCTATATTTTATACCCCCCCCCCCCCATTTTTATAGTCATATTTCATAAAAGTTTATACTTGCTATAAAAATAAAACATAAAGAGTTTGACTCCCATATGACAAAAATTTCATTTCAAAATTTAAGATTTTGCTACCTTTTTTGGGTACTATTCGGTTTTGAGGGCCGTAAAATATCGCCAAACTATTGTTGATGCCAGTGCTGCCAAAAAAAATTGCGGCAACGCTAATGCAAGAAAGGAAGTATAATAGTAAGTAACTATTTAAGATTGATGTTTTAATTTAGGTGAAAGGTTAATTTCATATAATACTATATTATTATTATAATTTATATAAAAAAGGCTAAACATGACTGAATGGAAGCATAAGTGTAAATAACTATGTCAGATCATTATTATAAATTATATAAAAATTGCTAAACATAACAGAATGGATGTCTGCATCGCTATTTCGCTACCAGTTATCGATAATTTCATCCCGTTGGTTGTTCAAACATAATTTTCTTTTTCTTTGAAAATATTCTCGGTAAAGGGCTGAATCGCCCACTTATTTGTTTGACGCGTTTTACAAGGGTGAAAACGATTGGATTTTTGTCAATTTTCTTTTACATTTTAGGTGAAAATAGGTCAATGTGTACATACATAAAGTCAAGGGTGTGCGCAGTGCCATTTTTTTGCAATTCTGGAATTTGTTTTTAAGTGAAAATAGGTCGATGTATACATGGATACCGAGTATGTACAATTCTTAAAAACGCGTCAAGCAGTGGGTGATTCTGCTCTTTACCCAAAATTCTATTGCAGACTTTTCGTCATGGGCAATTCCCAAATTGTTAAATCAATAGGATATCAAAAAAGGATCTAAAAATTAAACTAGTATTTCAATGCTGTCTTAAGAAATATAGAACTATATAAACTTACACAATCTGAAATCAGCGCGTACGCTAGATTTGGCGCTTTTGCACATACATTTTCGCTGCAAATTTTTTACGGTCCTCAAAACGGAATAGCACCCTTTTTTGCTGTCCTTTGAGAGGTTAGTTAAAAATTTGTTAAGTAATTTGATGTTTACCCCTCTTTCTCTTATTAATATTTAGTAATATTCCTTTGTAATTTACTGGCTTATGACATTTATTGTTCTTCCACAAGCAATTAGTAAGTTTTTAAACATTAAAAATGTGTTAACAGTCCCATACAGTACTTTACTTTATAATCACAATCTAACGCCATACAAAATTGAAATTTTTTACTTGTAATATCATGCAAATAAAGTTATAATTCAAGTCAATGCATAATTTTTCTAGAACACTTCATAACTCTGTAATGTGCAAAATTCTGTGAATAAAATCCTCTTTTTAGAAAAATTTTTACATTGTTCAAAATATTTCATGATAGTCTGCATAGTCACTTATTAAATCAATAATTTTTCTAAACTAGTATTTTATTTTCAGTCACATACAAAATCAAATATTTCACTCTTTAGTTTGTAAATGATCTACACACTTCTTTATTTTTAGAATGAATAGACTTTTATTAAATATAGCTAGTTATAAAGACAAGGGAGAAGGCAGGATAAAAATTTAGATTTTGTAATTATTACAATTTAGACGTTTTTAATTTAAAAATGCAATGTCCTAAATCATTTAAAGCTTTTTTTTTTTTTTTTTTAACTAAAAGTATATGTCTAAGAACAACAGTTACAAAAATAAAAGTTGCATAGGGATTTTTATGGACGCTATATATATTTCATGAGACAATCCTGATCACAGATTAAATTCCTACTGCAGATAAGATGCAGCAGAAAAAAGGAAATTATGAATTTTAATTAAACAGTTTTCTGTTTCATAAGTCATATTATGACAGTTGTCTGTTTAAGAAGAAGATAAAGAAAAATACTTACTTCTGTTTAAATATTCCTTACTAATGATACTTATACTTCTTTTCATACCTGCTGTTGATAAATTATCTTCTGTTGATGATGATTTACTAATGATACTTATACTACTTTTTACACCTGCTGATAGTGAATCTTCTGATGATAAATTATCTTCTATCGATGATGATGACTTACTAATGATACTTATACTTCTTTTCATACCTGCTGATGAAACTTCTGATGATAAACTATCTATCGATGATGAAGGTTTACTAATGATACTTATGCTTCTTTTTATATCTGCTAATGATGAATCTTCTGATAATAAATCATCTTCTATTGATGATGACGATGAAGAATGTTGTCTATATGCAGAGTGGTTACTGTTTTGTCCATATGGGATGAAACTTGCCATATCTGGAGATGGTACTTGTAAGTAACCACATTCTTCTAAACCATATATTCTATTGCAGAGACCTTTGTATTACAGTTGTTGAAATGTTGAAAATGTATCATTAGCTTTTGATGAATGACTTTCACTTACATAATTGGCACAGCAATTCTCATTTGCTAACAAATTGCACAATATCACGTCCGATATTCTACGAGCATATACGTCTTGCAATACCTAGGGGGGAGAAAAAATGAGTGACAGTAGGAAATAAAATATCAAAAGTTAAATTTAAAATATTTTTTAATCTATTAAGGAATGTTAAGCTAATGGAATAGAACAATAAATTTAATCCAAAACCAATTGGACCTCATGTCCGTACCATATGGCAACTCTGTAGCTTTGTCTGATTGCATAGTCTTATCCTGGTGATGTATCTTTCAAGAGTCTGCCTTATCGGCTGCGAATGCTAGGTTACGTGCCTACCATGGTTGTAATGGATGATGGGCAATCACGGTTCAATTCCAGAGAAAGAGCCTGAGGAACAGCTACCACATCCAAGGAAGACAGAAGGCGCGCAAATTACGGGGAGGTAGTGACAAAAAATAACAATATGGAAATCTTTTGAACACCATAACTGGAATGAGTACACTCTAAATCCTTTAATGAGGATGAACTGGGGAGCAAAGCGGCATTTTGCTAAATTTTTTCAGAATTTTCCTTATTTTACCAATAATAATTTTTTTAACCCTTTTCAATTAATATTTTTTTTAATTTAATTTTGTAAGTAAGGGCCCTTTTGTTATATACATTAATACATCTTGTGTGGGTGGCAACGAGTACTTGGGTCATGTTATAGCATTCCTTGGAAACACCTATGCTCGGTTGCAGCTGTGTAGGTAACCTATAGGGTCTGTTCTGCATCTTTAAAATGTTCGAATCGCCTGTCCCATGTGAAGTTCAATCAGTGCAGACATTTACAGGCAGATTTTGAAGTTTACAGATTGACTGCCATGAGCGAAGGCAAAGTGCGTAAGCGAGTCAGAAACTTCACAGCTGGTTGCAACAATGTTCCTGACAAGTCCCTCTCCAGTTGCCCATCTGTGACCACAGATTATATGGTGATGAAAATAAATTTGGTTTTTGAAAATTTTCCTTCATTTGGTTTTTTAGTTTCAAACCGCCCTTACTTAAAAAAAAAATTCCTCATAATTCTTGATTTTCAGAAAAATATTACCAGTTAAGTTTCTATGGAAATTTAGCATGCATGCAGTAAGCTATTACAATTCTAAGATTATTTTAAATTGAAATATCACCAGCACAAAATACAGTTTTAACAGAAAATAATATATTGATGATTAAATTTTTTGAACTGGCATTGTTGATTTAAATTTTCTGGGTGTTCTGTTTAAATTACCAAAAAATAATTAAAATCTTGCAACTGTTTAGGAACAAATTTAAACTGAAATCACTAATAATAATTAAAATCACAATTTAGAAGCATTAGAGAAATGGAAAGAAATACAGCAAATCCTCCTCAGACACAACAGTGAAAGTCACTAGTGTTTCTGAGAACATAAATGCATAATTGTATTGAACATCACAAATAATTACAGTTCCTAAGCTGATATGCCTACTGAAGACAAAAATGAGTGATCATCTTATGTAATTTTCCATGCAGTAAGTTTTTGAAGGCTAACATGTAAGTTAAATATTCATGCAGGAAAGTATTATAATGTTGAAAAAATGCATAATAATAATTAATTAAGCAGATAAAAAATTAAACTCATAAAGACAAAAACAAACTTTACAATTTAAATTTATCAGAAAGGAAAATTAAAGATTCTTTGATAATGGCAGTGCTGATTTAAATACTGCATGATGATTAAACTTAAAATCTTTTTCAAGACAACTAGAAGTAGGAGTAAAAGAAAAAGTAAGCTACGAAAAACTAGCATAAATATTTAATGAATACGTAGCATAATTTCACTAGTTTTAAAGCTATATTTTAAGCAGAAATACTATATTATCAAGAAATTTTATAATAAGGGAATTATGAAACAATCCTCCCACACAACATTAAAGGCATTGCTAATATTTTTTTAAATTGTTGAAAGCTATGTGACGTGACATAATAATTTTAATTAGCATTAAAGAAGTTTAATCCTCCATGCACTGTTTTTTAACATATAATGAGAAAATCCATGTAACAGTATTTTCACCACATGCATGGTATTTATTTTTTGAAGGTATATATTTTTTTTTAATTTATTTTTTGAATGTTAAAAAAATAGGATCTCCTAAAATATTTCATATTTCTAAAATGCACTTTATGCATCATTTACTAGTTTTTTAATTCATAAACAATATTTCATTATCTGCTCAAAAAGAATATTCGCTTCATAATATCAAATTTCTAAATCATTTAAGTTAATGATATAAAAATATTTCATTAAATGTTAAATGTTAACTTATAAACAATCTATAATTCAAATATTTTTCCTTATTAATTCTTCTCTGTTTAGCACTAGTGAAAATCGTGAAGTTTTGAGTCATTACAAACTAAAAATTTCTTTTGTAGTCATTCCCCCCCCCCCCAACAGACACATTATTTTTGAAATTTATAAGAGATGTATGAAATACTTCAGCAAAATAAACAGCAAAAAATTTCTAAAACAGTCTAAATTACTGATAAATTTAAAAAAAAATAGTGGAACTCCGGATTGATATGTGTACATTATTTCAATTTTACGCAGTTAGTCTCAAAAATTTTAAATAAAACTATCTTCAACAATTAATTATAGAAAAATAATTCATATATTTACCATGTCTTCGGGATTCCAAAAGGCAGAAGCAGATCGTGAATGCAACTGCAAATATTAAAAATTGTTATTAAATTATACATAATGATGTTAAATTCTTATTTAAATATGACAAATTCTTTAAAACTTTATAATTAATACAAATGTTACTTTACTCAATATTTTTTAAATTGCTAACACAAAAGTAATTCTTTCACAGACTGAGACTCATTCATGAACATTAATAATATGTTCAAAATATAATTAATCTGTTCATTTTTGACAAATGAACAAATTAATTATATTTTGAACATATTATTAAGTTTGTATCCCCATACCAATGAAAAATTGCCAACTAATCACTAATTTTAAGGAATTGGTGAGAAACGATTGTCCGCTTATCAATACAATTCATAAGCACTGTTTTGTTCACAAATGATAGTAAAAAGAGCATTTTATAAAAAAAATATGAGTAAAAATAATTTTTAAAAAAACTGTGGCCAAAAAGCGCAGATCAGTGAATGATGTGTATATTAATTATGTAAACTATCATGGATACCTATGTATTGTCCCATCAACTGTGAAACTGTCATCAAGTAGTAATGTGACTTAGCATCAGTGTTGGATAAGCAGACATAGTCACAGACGTAATATTTTTTGTTCCCAATGATTTTCAATCAGCCACCTTTTGCTTTATGAACAAGGATATAAATTAGCTGTTATTACTGTATATTTTGTCTTGCATTTTGAAATGTGATTAAAATTTGGGACTTAACCGCAAGCAGTAGATTATTTTTCAAGGTTTTGGCATTCTACCATATTCAATCATTATACCAAAGGAAAGAGATAATTAATAGATATGTTGTAAATCAGCTGAATATAGCAGACGAAACAATTAATAGATTGGGACGATCACATGCAGGCAAGTCTGTACTCATCAAATTCTAACCAGAGCTTCTGGTCAGATCGAAAGATCTAACAAAATAGTACAAATCGATGAAAGCCTTCTTACGAAGTTCAAAAACCAAGTGAGTCAAAAATTGACTGTATATTATAAAGAAATGTCAGACCATAGTTCTGCAGGAACAGTCAGCATAACTTTAGGCCAATTTTCATAGTTCAGTGGTAGCCAACACTCACAGTCAATGGTAAACACCCCTCATATATTCATATATGTGTATGATATGCACTGTGGTTTGTTGTGGTGTCACATTTAGATTCAAAAACACAGTAATTACCAATAGTTAAAACGTGGGCGCTGATAATCAGAAAATACTGTTATAACTTATTCAAGGATAAAATAAAGAAAAAGAAAAACAAAATGTCCAGGGAAGGGAGGGTTTTTTTTTAAACAATCTTCCACACAAAGGGCTGGTTTCTTTTCATGTATTGGACAGAAATAACACATTTCATTCATGGCTTGGATACAAAGTAAAAAAATCATAAGAACAACCATGCAACCAACATACTCACTTAGCTCAAGGCCTGATCCACCCACTAATACAGACTTATTGATTTCAGCCTGTAAGCTTTCAGATTATACATACACATCAAATTATAAAATTGTTTCTCAAAAATACTACTAAAAAGCTGCATAAGAAGAGGAACAGCTGGCTATTTTATAATAATATTACACAGTTTCTATGTTAGAAATCTAAAAAATCTAATATAGATGCACCCTGAGTCTGTAATTATAAGATAATATCATATAACAAGTTAACATTATAAAATAAATTGTTACTTACGCTTTAAGAGTGCTTCTATTTCTTCATCTGTTAGTGAGAATTTGTCTTCATCTTCCTTTACTTTGAAATAATCAATTTTCTTTTTCTTCGGTGCTTTAGCCAAGCAGGATGCATCTTTTATAGCTATACAAAATTTATATTTTCAGTAACAACTCAATTTTGTTATATTATTCACATGTTATTCTTGGATTAAAAAAAGAAAATTAACTTTTATTTTAATTCAAATACAAAGATATTACAATATTATCCCCATATCCATGCATAATTCACTTTGAGAATTACCATGACTATGTAAAATTTCAAATAACAAATACTGAATTTTTATATGTGTAACATACTGCATAGCATAACTGTGTAGTGCATATAGATACAATAAAGCTTAATTGATGAATATGTACAAGGTATTACCAACATTAAATAAAATAACAATGCGCATTAATAGTATTATAATATATTAATATATATGCGATATTACACATTTAAAGATTTTCTTTACCTTGTGTACATATGAACATGAGAGTTTTTGCCATTTTAGCTTAACATGGAAGCAATAATATAATGATAAAAGGACATTAAATCTGTATTTTATCCTGCTATAAATAATACATTTAATCTGCATACTTCCAACTAATGTCATATCAATAAAAAATCTTTGTTTCCCACCAAAGTACTGTAATAAAACATTAATCCAATATGCACGTATTCTCATAACTGCTTTTGCTATGGAAAAATCTAATTAGATATATTTCAGCATATATAAATTATATAGCAGCTATATTTAGATTATATATAAATTTAGATATATTTCAGCAGCTATATTCTCAAAAATTTATTTGACTGGCTATCTAGTACGGAAGGAACCATAACTTTTGATCAACTCATGATACAACTAGGGAGAGTTATTCTGATTATGATAAGGAAGCTGACTATTAATAGATTTTATTTTAGAGCATGTTAAATGGGCAATTTTCAGATATAAATCAATTTTCTTATGATAAAATGTAACAGACAGGAAAAAAATTCAAGCAATCAGAAATTTCAGATAACAAGACTTTTGTCTACTTATGCTTAAAAACGTTTTTTTTTAAGGTATTGGTTCTAAATATCCATATAACCATGCGCAATTAAGCAAGACAATTTTATTTTGTATAATAACAATGTGAATTTAAAAACCTCTTAAAATTTCTATTCTTAGAGCTAATGAGAAAATTTCCGTGTGATGAGTTTTACCTTCACAGCGATCATTCCTTACAGAATTTTCTGATTCAAGACATAGGTTCAATGGAATCCAATTCTGCCAATAGTGAATGTTGCTTAACACTGTTTACAGTGGTTCAGATAACAGAAAACATACTTCTAAACCTATTACAAATGGTATTCCTTGTTTCATGTTTGTTCAGATGCATTCTGATCTGAGTTAGATCTTTAAAAATTATTCCAATGACATATTATTTCAAATGCTACAGTGTAGCAGCATTGTCCAGTCATGTAAAATAATGATATTCTCAGTTTAGATAAACTAAATTTTATAGGAACTGTAACAGTAAGATTTTTCTGGTGTAATTAATGGGCAGTTCTAAATCTTAAGTATGTTTTGTATTAAATTTTTTATTTAAAATTTTGGGAATATCTGCCATAAGATTTATTTTGCTATTTTTCCAGAATATATTTGATATTCTATGCAAGTTCTCAAATGACTGTGAAATTAAATGCTTAACTATATTTTGCAGTAGAGCTCGGGCTATAATTGAGACATTTGAAAAGGAGCTGGACCTTCATTAATAAAAGTAAAGTATCCAGTATTGATCAAGAGAAATATACTACATATTTACAAGAATTAATCCATTAACTCTTCAATACCCCCCATTACCCTCCAGTTAAAGTTTAAGGTAATGTTATGATACCATAAAGAGTTAAAGAATTAAAAAGAAACATTAATGCTTGCCTTTTTAATATAGAAATTATTATTATCCCTTTCTTCTGTCATAGACAGGAATAGCCTTTTCTTAAATAAGGCCAAGTTTGTCTGGAGTTGATTGTACTTGAATTTTTCTGAACTTTTTTCAGTTACATTTTATATATCTAACAAATGTTTAAGCAGATATTTGTTTGTTGTTTCAATATTTATGTAATACACATGCTTTTTATTATTTTCCAAAGAGATGATGTTTTATTTCCAGTTTTTTAAAGACATTTTCTGCTGTATTTTGTATTACTTAGATACTGTATTTAGAAATTACCTCTGTATCTTCTTTTTATGTAATTGCACAGTAAATAATAATAGCTAATGCAAGGTCTGTAGGTCCTTTCTGCAAAAGGTTTTCAACACCTGCTTTTCAGAAAGAAATTCCTATTTTTAAAGCACTGAAATAAGGAAACCCAGATAAAGAGAGCCCAGTAAGTGTAAAAACTATGGCGAATAGTGCTAAAAATTTAAAGCTAGAAATCTCAGGACTGCTCTTTTTGTGGAAGTAACAATCATTCATCTTGGGTTGCCCTCACTTTCTTTTATTCCTGTTTACAAGTTGCACATTGTAGTATAGCAAAAATCAGACAACGTCTAGCAGGTGGCTTTCACAAATATTTGTTTCCGCCTGAAATTAAACACGACAGCCAAAATCCATTCAGTGCAATTTTAAACTTGTTTAAAGACTCTTTTCCAGTAAGATAATGTCTCTGACAGCTTTCTTAATTCCAGTTTTACTTCTGTGGGAAGGTGAGGCCTTTCTCAGAGCAATACAACTCTAATATAAAAAATCAGGTATTGCTATATCTAAGTGTACAAACATTTTTAACTCTTACTTTAGTAACATAATTAACCAGAAATTGATTTCCATTATTAATTATTAATTTTGATTTATCAATGCTTAATACCATATTTTTTCTGCTAACTTTATATGTACTGTATGTTGAATCAGCTAATTTTTACTCACTAGCTACATATTATTATTTTTTCTTACCAACTTCTATTTATATGTATTAAATATTATTTAACACATTGAATATTGTTTAACACTTTATTTACATGAGTTTAATATGCTTTTCCTAATAGCTTTAAATTCACATGCACTAAATGTTATGCTAACTTTAAGCTTAATATCATGCTTAAAACCACTAGCAAGTAAAAAAAAAAACACTTATGCCAACAGGTTCTCTGCAGTATTACTGCCAGGCCTTTTGTGGTAGCACAATTTATATTTCTTTTAGACTCAGTTTATCACAAAAATACACAAACAATGGCAATTTTTTGTTAAAGAAAATTGTTAATAGTTTTGAAAAGAGCTT